AAGCTGTAATAGCTGCAAAAGGTGGACCGACATCATATTGAACTCTGGGTTAGGAATGGGATGGCACTTCAGTTCATAGTAGGAGTCAAGGCAGGTGAGCCAATACTTTTGGTAATATAGTGCATATCTGTGGAACAGCCACGACCTCTGGTGGTCTGCAGCTCTATGAGGAGGCGAAACTCTGTCTTACCCTGAGCTGCAGGTCACTAAGCATGGCCTCCAGTCCAGCAATGTGATTGGCTAGATCTGGACTTGGTTCCTCCTCCATGGTGAGCCAAGGTACCTGAATTGATGCCACCTGAGCTGCCACGCCCACTACACCATCTATACATCCTAGGAAACAATAAGAAACCCGTGGATTTAGGTAGAGTTTGGTTCTCTAGGCTAAAGTAAAGAAGTAGGAGAGGATGATTCCACCAATTACCGAACTTGTGGCCAGAGGGAGCTGAACTGGGTAACTGACCTGTGTTGACCAATGAGCGTCTGTCACAGCGCTGGGTCAAACGAAACTGCACACTCAGATCTCTTGCCTTACGCAGGTCAGACAGGAAGTTTTCTAGTGCCGACACGAAAAGCACCCATAGACGTTCCGAGGCCCGTCAGTCCTCTAGACTAGAGGGAGTGGAATCAGGGCCGGACAGCAGGCGCAACAGACGACGTGACAAACCTTGGAAGAGAAAGAAATGTCAAACAGACCATGGGTTAAAGATTGACATGGTCAACCTGATGGACAGGTTCAGAAAGACGCTCAGGTACCACAGCTGATTCGGTGGGCTAGCGTCCTGGTTTCATTCAGCTCATCTCGTAAATAGCTGCTGTCTGCAGTGCTACCCAGCGACGCCACCTGCTGCTGGAAACAGGAAGTGACACGGCTGAGGACCTCGTGAGCACGCTCACACTCGCTCTGCTGTCGACGCCTTGCAGCCAACTCGTCCACTGAATGACGCCAGCGACTCATGATGATGTCATTGCTCATCTAAAGTGAGAAGAAATATATTGGTAACCGTCATTTTAAATCTGTTTTCTGTTTTCTAATGTCTTTCTCTAATGTCAGAGAAAGAGTGGTTTGGATTTAACATCACTCTCTGGTTCTGTTTCCCATCCGTTGGTTTGTGACATCTGAGTAAAAATGTAGAACTCAGACATGACTCACCTGTCATTGACCAGGAGAGACCTTCAAAGACCATCAGTAACCGTCAAAGACCCTCAGAGGACATCACAGACAATCAGTGACCATCAGAGACATCACACACACATATAT